AACCATTAAGATATTCTGTATCTTTTTGTGTGACAGTTTTCATTAACTTTGTTTGGTGTATTTGGCTTATTTATGTCTACAAAACTTTTGACATAATTTTGCTTTTTCCCATGGTTAATGAACCTAATGTTAAAATCTGATTCTACTTTGGATTTACTGCTCTGTTCTAAAGATATATATGCCATTTTTATAGCAGCAACACATCCCTCTGATAACAGTCTAAATATGCTGGGGCTAGGTGGCCAAACATAGTTCTTCCTTTCCAGACTGTTTTTCAAGTATTTTTCTCAAGAGCTGCTCTGATAATAGTTGATGCCAAGATCCAAAGCAGGGGAGCAGTCATTTCAGGCTAAGCAGTTGTCAGGAGCAGGTTGGGGTCCAGGGTCTTAAGTACAGGGCAGCTGTGCCCTCACCAGACAGGTCTCATGGCATGATTCTGGTTTTGAAGTTGGCAGCCTCCCTAACCACCTTCACACATGCTGAACACCTACATATTCATTCAATAAATTCCCTTGTTCTGTTACATTCAGTTGAGGGCTTTTTTTTTTTTTTTTTTTTGTACAATTTCAATAGAAGTTGAAAAAAAGGCAGCTCCCTTAGTGCTAGCAGCTCTGAGCTCTGATCACCAGCAGCTCTCAGCTCTTAGTGTAACCCTGCCCTCTGAGTGCCAGCAGCTTTCATCACTGTTGTTAACAGCTCTCCCCAGCTTTCTACAGTTCTGGTTAAACTGGCAGCTCTGCGCAGTTCTCAGAGCTCTCTAGCAGCTCTTCAGCTGATAGGTATTCTCAGGGCTAGCAGCCCTTGGAACCAACAGCTCAGTCTACACCACTGGAGAGAAAAATCACATAGACGCAATAAAATCATCCCAGCGAGGCTCCAATGGAACCTATGCTGCAGCACAGCAGGGCTGTGCACAGGACAGAGGTCCCAGACTGGCCAGRCGGGAGTAAAAGGAGTGCAGCGGATACAGCCAAAAAGGACAGCACTTGCCATGTGGCCTGCCAGCACTGTGACAGTGGCCTGCCCGTCTGCAAAGGCATACTGGCCCACTTGGCCTGGCTCCATGGGTGAGAAGGGGCTCCTTGGGACTGCAAGGAGACATCTAAGTGGTTGCAGGGTGGCTGAAGGAGTGGGGTAGTTGTGCACAGCCTGGGTGGGTCTCAGGAGCATGGCAGTGTTGCTCACATCCTAGGGGGCTTTGGGGTCATGTTGTGGCCTTAATGTTAAACCCAAGTGGGCTACAATAGGAACATTTTTTTTTCTGTATTTCTTACTATTTTTTTTTAAGTTGGTGCCAAACTTTTCTGGTCATAAATTGTACCTGGAGCACTTACTAAAAATAAAGAGTATTAGAATCTTGGAGTTTCTAACTCAGTATGCCTGGCAGATGTGCAAGTATGTGCATTTTTAATAGGTCCTCTTGTCTTGCCTAACCCTTCTCCCTTCTCTTCCCTTCCCTACAAGCCACTGATGTTCTTGTGGTCATGTAATTTTGAAAAACAGCTTAAATTCTTAGAAGACTTGCCTAGTCAATGGTTTATTTCTATAAGGAGAGAAAAAACTCATTTGTTAATTTTTTTATTATTAAGGAAAAGGAGTTCAGTATTCTCAGGTGTCTTTTTGGAATTCACTGAATAGTCCATGAGCCACCACAGGCTCTGACCTGACACAGCTTGGGTCTCGGTCTCAGTCTCAGCTGTGTCACCATGGACTGTTTCYCTACCTAAAAGGGACTATAAAAGTCCTCACATAGACTAATGTGACAATCAGATGAGAGAATGGGCAGTGCTGATTCTTGGGTCAASTGCTTAGTGCTAGTCAAATGTCTGGCACAGAGGGGCTGGGGTGGAGTCCCCAGAAGGGAAAGTGTCCTCCTTTCTTCTCTTATCATTATCCATTATGCCACMAACCCCATATACTATCACTTATTTTGTCAAACATGAAAAGGTTACTACTGAACCTAAACTCCCTGTTGGTGCAGTATAAGATACCCTGTGCTCTGGTGTGTTTTTCTAGGAAACTAAAATATTCAAGAACACTGCTCATTAATAGAAGAGAGACAAGATCAATATGCATTGATTTGGGGACAGGATGTGCACTTTGATAAAACTATTTTTAAAAACATTTTATTTTATATTAATGGCTTTGTTACCAAAGGAAACTGAGATGTAACTTCATGTATCATTCACTTACAAAGTTTTATACCAAACCAAGTCAAACCCAAGACTAAAAATCTCCACTATTCATAGTCCTCTTAGGGTAGTTCACCTTGCTCTCTTTTTGTACTCTCAGTGTTTTTCAGAAAACTATTTTTAAGAAGTAGGATGTAGATTTCAGCAAATCTACCCTAATTTGTCCTTTTAATATCTAAAATAAATAGCATGACCTTTTCAGAGTCTTATTTATAAATTTATTTAATTTTATAAATAGGTGATATATTTAAGCAACTTAAAATAGTTTTCAAAACCAGCATGGTATTGGCACCACAACAGGCCGGTAGACCAATGGTACAGAATAGAGGACACAGAGACTAACCCACAAAATTATAATTTTCTTATATTAGACAAAGGTGCCAAAAACATGCACTGGAGAAAAGATAGCATCTTCAACAAATGGTGCTGGGAAAACTGGAAATCCATATGTAACAAAATAACATTGAACCCCCGTCTCTCACCATGCACAAAACTTAACTCAAAATGGATCAAGAACCTAGGAATTAAATCAGAGACTCTGCGTCTAATAGAAAAAAAGTAGGCCCTAATCTTTATCATGTGGGATTAAGCCTCAACTTCCTTAATAAGACTCCTATAGCACAAGAATTAAAAACAAGAATCAATAAATAAGATGGATTCAAACTAAAAAGTTTTTTCTCAGCAAAGAAACAAACTGTGAGGTGAATAGAAAGCCTACATCCTGGGAGCAAATTTTTACCCCTCACACATTAGATAGAGCACTAATCTCTAGGGTATATAAAGAACTCAAGAAGCTAAGCACCAAAACAAACAAACAAACAAACAACAAAACAGATAACCCAATCAATAAATGGGCCAAGGACCTGAACAGACACTTCTCAGAAGACGATATAAAATCAATCAACAAATATATGAAAAAATGCTCATCATCTCTAGTAATCAGAGAAGTGCAAATCAAAACTAATCTAAGATATCATCTTACCCCAGTCAGAATGGCAGCTATTATGAAGACAAACAACAAGTGTTGGCGAGGATGTGGGGAAAAATGTACACTTATACATTGCTGGTGGGACTGCAAATTGGTACAGCCAATTTGGAAAGCAGTATGGAGATTCCTTGGAAATCTGGGAATGGAACTACCATTTGACCCAGCTATTCCTCTTCTTGGACTATACCCAAAGGACTTAAAAACAGCATTCTACAGGGACACAGYCACGTCAATATTTATAGCAGCACAATTCACAATAGCTAAACTGTGGAGCCAAACTAGATGTCCTTCAGTGGATTAATGGATGAAAAAAATGTGGCATATATATACAATGGAATATTACTCAGCATTAAAAGAGAACAAAATCATGGCATTTGCAGGTAAATGGATGGCRTTGGAGAAGATAATGCTAAGTGAAGTCAGCCAATCCCCAAAAAACAAATGCTGAATGTTTTCTCTGATATAAGCGGGGTGACTCATAGTGGGGTAGGGAGGGAGAGCATGGAAGGATTAGATTAATTCTAGATAGGAAAGAGGGGTGCTCAGCAAGAATGCCATTATCCAATAACAGGAATTAGAACTCTTTAGAGAAGTCACTGATTCTGAGATGAGGTTTCCTCTTGCTGCCACAGACAAAATGGTTACAAACAATAGCCCAAAGGGTCTGGAATGTATCAACAGGATACAGGAGCTGACTGAAAGAACCCAAGTGGCCAAAGCCAGAAAATGTGAGGAGAAAAGTAAGCAAAGCAATACTGGATTATAATCAAGGTATAAAATAAAAGTTCATGAGCTGGGTACAGTGGCACATGCCTCTAATCCCAGTGGTTCAGGAGGCTGAGACAGAAGGATTGCTAGTTTAATGCCAGCCTCAACAAAAGCAAGGCACTAGGCAACTCAGTGAGACCCTGTCTCTAAATAAAACACAAAAAAGGGCTGGGGATGTGGATCAGTGGTTGAGTGCCCCTGAGTTTAATCCCTGGTACCCCCAAATAAAAAATTTAAAAAATTAAAATCCATTTGTAAAATCCACATGTAAATGACACATTAAAAATGTGGAGAAAAGATAAATCTTCCACGCAGAAGAATTCCAAGTACGRCATTCTGACTGCTTCCCTGAAGGTGAGGGGCAGACTTCCAGTTCAAGTCTTAGTGTACATAGAGAACTCCTTCTAGAGAATACAGGGTAGAGAAGGAGAAAGGAAATCATAGTCATGCGGCCAGGTCATGAAAGTTGACATGGATGGCCGCCACACATTATGTTGATGATACTTACTTGTGAAAAGAATAATGCCATAGTGACAACAGCACTCTGTCTTTTCCTTCCCCAAGCTAATGACTCCAGTGTGATCATGAGGGAAAAACTCAGATAATTCTAACAGAGGGGCATCCTATAATATACCTGACCAGGTGTTACAGTCTGGAGTTTACATGTCCCCCTAAAGCTTATGTGCCGAAGGCTTGGTCCCCAGCTGATGGCACTCTTGGGAGGTGGTAGAAACTTCAGGAGGCAGGCCTAGCTGGATAAAGTGGGTTCTTTGRGGGTGTGCCCTTGAAGACTATGTTGGGGCCAGGTCCCCTTCCTCTCTGGGCTTACAACGTCTTCGGTACACACCCATAGGTCTTACCACTCTCAATGACACGGCTGAAGGGATGCGAGGAAGCCGGAATCCCAGACATGGTTACCCTTATAGTTACAGGTAAGTATATTTGCAGGATAAATTGATTAAAGCAAGGTTTTGTTGTGATTATAAGAAAAAAATTTCTAGAAAATTCCTCATTATGGTTAATTGCTAACAACAGAAAAAAATGCTCTTTACCTAGTACTTCTTTCTGCAAAKCATGGCATCTGACTTGTAAGTTTTCTTCCTGCTGCTTGGACATATGAATCTGCTGGGACCTCAAGATGGCTGTATCTGACAACAGTTTGAGATTTTTCATTTCCTCTTCAAGGCATACCTTAGTTCTCTGTGACGCTGTCAAAGTTTTATTTAATGTCTCTATCTCTGTAAAGAAAATTCAAAATTTATAAATAAGTAACCCTGAAGCATAAAATATTTCTCCAAAACCTGGTTTTCTTTTAGAAAATGAACAGTTGGAAGCCAACACTATCTTTTCTGGGAGGATAATGAGACCTAACCAAAAGGTTAAACTTAGCCAACACTATCTTTTCTGGGAGGATAATGAGACCTAACCAAAAGGTTAAACTTAAATTCAGTAGTGATTCCGAAAAAGAAATGAGAAAGGGGTTGTATTGCTAAATGATGCATGAAAGAATTCAGTAGTTGTTTCTTAGACCTTAAAATTATACCAAATGGCAATGCAGACAACTTCTTAAGTACTCACAAATGAATYATATAATATCTGTATAATGGTCTGGGTTTTACTGAAACCATRCTATTTTCTTGGCAATGTGATTCAGAAAAGTAAGCTTAAATGTGCTAGCAGGATAAATTTTTTTTCTTATAATGCGCTGGCTGGTAGCATTTCTAAAAGAATGACTAGTGTGCATTCTATACAAATTATAAAGAAAGGTGATGGGAAGAAAAGGGCAAGAAGGATAAAGTAGCTAAAGCTGATAAACTTCTGGGTAACATTTATTAGTTAATAAATGTTTTGATGATTATAATGGTATCCTGTTTCCCCACCCCCAAAATGAGACCAGAATCCATCATAGCAATGATCAGTCATTATTCTATCTCTTTAATAAAAGTTTAATAAAAAAATATATCTTTGAAGTTCTTAGATTGAAATGTGCTAATTTTATAGAATTTGTTGARAAATATGTGGAGCATACTGTTGGTCAGAATAATCATCAGGGGCTGGGGTTGTGGCTCAGTGGTGGAGTGCTCGCCTAGCATGCATGAGGCACTGGGTTTGAGCCTCAGCACCACATACATCATAAATGTAAAATAAGGATACTGTGGCCATCTAAAACTTAAGAATAAATATTAAAAAAGAATAATAATCAAACTCCTCTTTAATGTTTTCAGTATTGCACCATAAACCACCATTAAAATATATGTACGCACACACAGTAGTAATACTATAGAATTTGTACAATCACAATTAGTTGAACTAACAAGGATGCGATCTACATGAAAATCCAGATGGTGTGCTTTTCCAGAGGGCTCACTGGCGTCCCTTCTTGGCTAGCCTCTCCTGATGTGGGACCATATCAGGTGTGACTGGTGTTCTGGGGAGACTGGCTTATTTTATTGCTCTTCAGACTACCAGCAGACATGGCAGCCACATGGTCAAGGACGGCCAGAAGACAGACATACAGGAGAGGCAACATGGCTTGCAAATGGTCACAGGAGCTGTAAAGCAGTGACCAGAACAGAGAAGACACATGCCTTATGGGATGGTGAGGAGGAGGAGGACCTGGAACATAGCCCAGGGAAAGGAGTAAAAGGGAGTCTGGAAGGGAGGGGCACCCCCGCCGACCTGGGCTGGAAATGAGGGTCAGGTACATTTTTCACTCTAAGTTTCTGCTCACAATGGAAAACTGGAGAAATAAATTGGCAGAGACCAAATAAGTACATCTCTACTATGGTGCAATGGTTACTTTATGTGGAAATTTCTGCCCCAAGATTAGCTAACCTGCTTCTTAAAACTTAGAATAATGCATCCATTTCTGTGAGGATAACTACCAATACACAAGTACATAAAATTTTTAAAAGACTGAAGTTTAAGAAAATAAGGTTACAGTTTTCTCTCATACCTAACAAGTCTCTCTGTGTTTCTGTAGTCATCAAGGTAGCTTCTAATGTCTGAATAAACTGTACCGTAGCACAACTATACCTATGTTTAAGTCAGAATGACACGTACAGTAGCACACACATGTTGTCACCTATTTATCATTTGCCAAAATGACACTGCTTGGGTTAAGCARGCTGACTCTGTTAGTGAATGCCACAGTCTCTAAAATAACTACTCGTGTCAATGTGACTTTCTATCTGACATTAAAAGAATAAGAATCTGCAATACAAATTTATTTGTAAAATGTAGTTTAAAATGTGGAAAGGTACAGCAAGATTTCAAAATTGACAGAAGTGGCAATATTCCTATCATGGCATTAAGAAAGTCAGTGGATATGAACTGTGTGGCAAACTATTTACACTCCTGYACCTAGGGCAGCCCTGGGGTCAAGTCTGAATCCTGCCTTCTCCCATTATACAACCTCATCCTTGTYAGTCTTGGGTCCTAGACTGGGGTTCAGGAATTATAATCTCTACCAGGTCAACCCATATTGGTCACTGTACCTGCCTTGGGCCTCCCCTGGTCAGCATCACCCCTTGAAGAAGATCTTCCTATCCCCAAACATCTGGTCTTCCTCTGTGGAAATCTTTTCAGACCTGATCCAGCTGTGTCCTAATCTTCATACAACCAACTTACACATTTGCACTGCACTGATCATAAAGAAATGTGATCCACCACTGGACTACAAGTCCTTTTAGGCCAGGGATAATATTGTCCTCATATATATTCCCTCCATAGTTCCTGTGAAACATCCAGAATTACCTGAGAGACTCAGTGGACACCTACACTATGAGAAAGGCATAGCTGAACACAGCTTCTAAGAGAGTCTACTAAAGCCTGGGGGAACACACTGAGCACCCATCTGCCTCAGCCTTCGTTTCAGAGGCAGGCAGTTCATGCCTCATGTTTCTTAATATCAGACTGGTAGTCAGACTTCCAAAGGGAAGAAACATTTTTAACAGGATAGATAAGGAAAAAGGCCTGTTTTATCCTTAGAAATATGAAATCTAAGTCCAGTTCTAAACTTGAATTTTAAAAGTTCAAAAGCTATTCAGGGGCTGAGGGTATAGCTCAGTGGTTGAATGCTTGCCTGGCATGTATGAGGCCTTGGGTTCAATTCCCAGCACTGCTTAAAAGAAAAAAAAAAAAGAAAAAAAAGGAAGAAAGAAAAAGACAAGCTACTCAGACAATGCTTGTTTTGAGAGTGGAAACAAAAGTCTTTTACTAGGTAATATGGGTACAATTATTAGCATTGATCTCATGCAATCAATTTCTTCAACTTGTTAAGATTTTTATAGGGTTGAGGGTGTAGCTCAGTGATAAAACCSTTGCCTAGCATGTGTGAGGACCTGGGCTCAATCTCCAGCACTGTAAAAAAAAATGTTTTCCCATCTTTTTAGTCCTATATATCAAATGAACTTAAAATTATAGGTCATTATGTGATTAATGAACCTCTAGAACCTTATTATCAAGGAATTCTAATATTACAGACACAGTGTAAGCATTAATTCTCATGACCTTACTTAGTTTTATTATAATGGGACAAGATCCTCATAACCCAGAGCTGTTAAATGAAGAAATCAGAAAACAGTATGGAGACTTTTGAATGTTTTAAATATTTAAATATTAAATATTAAATATGATTTTGAAATAATTATAGATTTAAAGAAACTTGATGATAAGCACATAAGGAGGACCTGTTCCCCAGCTCCACTACTCCCCATGTGGGGCCCTTGATGTAACCATAGTACACAATGAAACTAGAAAATCTACACGGATACAATCAGAGTTTATTTAGATTTTACCAGCTGTAAACATCCCAGTGTGTGTCTTCTACGTGATTTTTATCACAGTGCAGCTTCATATAAGGACACCATGACCCAAACACAGACGTGCTAACCGAGCATTCCTAACCTCTAGAAACTGCATTGGTTGTTTCAGAATGCTTTAGGAATGGAAGCATATGCTATAGGTGAGCTTTTGGAAATGGCTTTTTTCACTTACCAAATTTTCCTTGAGGCTTATTCAAGTTGTGTGGGTTAACAATTATTTTCTTTTGGTTGCTGGGAAGTAGTATATGGAATGGATATAGATGGTTGTCATTCATCCCTGAAGGGTATTTGGACTGCTTCCAGTTTGGGGCTATGAATGGAATGCTAGGAACATTTACATACAGGTATTTCTTGTGAACACAGGCTCCATTTCTCTGGGGTAAAYGCCCAGGAGCACAATTGCTGGGTTATGTGAGAAGTGCATTTTTAGTGTTAAAGGAAATTGCAAGATTATCTTCTAGAATGACTATAATCTTTTACATCCCTACTGGAGATGCTGAGTGATCCAGTTTCTCTAATCCTCATCAATACTTAGTGAGGTAAGTCTTTTCAATTTTAGATATTCCAACAGATGCTTTTATATTGCATTTGTCTAGTGGCTAAGATATTGAGTATTTATTTTTCCAAGCACTTATTTTCTACCAGTCTACTCCCTTTGGTGAAATTCCTGCTCATATCCTTTACCTGTTTTCTAACTGGATTTTTCAAAATGCAGAGTTTTGAGAGTTCTTTCTTCTGCATATAACGCCTGTCCTGGTATATGGCGAGCTAAAGTATCTCCTGGTCTCTGGCTTCTGTAGTGCCTTTTCATCCTATTAACAGGGTCTTCCACAGAGCCCAAGTTCTTAAGTGCTAAGATCCAATTTATTGATTTTTTTTTCCTTGTAAGTATCATATTCTTAGCCTATGCCTAAGAACTTTGGAGTAATCATGGGCTGTACCATTTTTTTCCCAAAAAAGTTTTACAGTTTTTCATTTGATATTTATTTCTGTGATTTATTTGGAGGTGTAAGGAGTGAGTCTTAGGTTAAGGAATTTTATTTATTTGTTTATTTATTTATTCTCCTTAAGGATATAAAGTTGCCCAGCATCATTTATTGAAAAGGTTGTCCTTCTACTACTGAAGTGTGTGTACAACCTTCCCCAAAATAAACTGAGCCAGGCACCATGGTGCACACTTATTATACCAGCAATCTGGGAGGCTGAGACAGCAGGATTGCAAGTTCAAAGTCAGCCTTGGCAAATTAGCGAGGACCTGTCTCAAAGTAAAAGAATAAATAAATAAATAGATAGATAGATAGATAAATAGTATGACTAATAAGAATACCATTCTGAAACACAAAAGGAGATAAATATGACAGAGGGAGCATGGGGTTTAGAATAAAAGAGAAGAGGAGCAGCAACCATATCCT